ACTATTCAATAACACCTCCAACTTGACAATTGTCTCCTACTCGTCATTCATATTACAGAAAATCCTGAAATTTCTCTATAGTCTCAATCACCCTCAGAAGGTAACTGGGTATGTTAGAACTTAAGTAGCAGCTACTTTATATTTACATTCAGAATAGTATTCAAACTACTCTTCTACCTCTTTCAAATTAAAGTCTCAATAAATATGTGACAATTTCCATTTTTATAGGTTTTGTTTACATATGTCACACATATCACAAAACCTAGCAAAAGTAAATTTGGCTTCATCTAAAGGACGATGACTTATCTTGGTTGCTTTTTAAATGTTAAATAATGTATTATTTGATGTTTATATGTCATTGAGATCATGTTTGACATTTAGTGTTTTAATTTTCTGCAATCCAAGCCTTTGCCACTCACTCAGAATAAAAGCTACCGAACCAAATTTGTCCAGGGACACTTTTCCAGGAACTATCCTTGTTCCTTCCTATTGTCTCAGCACAGTCATTAATAATATCCTTTCACTCTGAAAAGCGATTGGATAATGTATTAGATGGTCATCCCGAACATTCAGCTACTTCATGATGCTGCTTTTGGTCCAGACACTTTTAAAGTCGTCTGTTTAAATTGTTTCCAAAGTAAAGCACCCCAAAGAACATTAAAACATTCTTTTAGAATCAGATCTCACCTTTTGAGCCGACTAGCATTACACAATTTCACCACTCATTTTAAAAACTAAATCAAACTGTTTTTCCATTTCTAATAATCAAGCACACTTTCAGGAAAAAAAAAAAAGATGCATTTCTTTCTTTTGAGAATTTCCAAAGGTGTGTTGCAGCTATAGGCAAAGCAACTGAATCAGTAGGAAAAGCAGCAGTAGCAGCAAATGGAATAATAATTGCTATTTACTAGACATTTGCTCTGCACTTTATGTAAGTGTATACAATTTTCTTATCAACTATGTGAGGACAATTTTATTCTCACTGTTTTACATATGAGAAACTGGGACATTGACTTCCTACTTTCAAGCAACTTTACCAGCTCTTGTGGATAAAAATCACAGACTAGAGGCTCACTTAAATTGCTTCTCGATGCCACGGCCCTCACACACAGCTGCAGTACCTCTGGAAGCTCTCATTCCAGGAAGGAGATTAATAAGTATATGAATGAGGGTGATAAGACGGAGAATAGCCAGGATGGTGTAACTGGCACATGGAGGGTGTGGTGGGTGTAGACAAATAGGAGAAATCTAGAGGACCAAGAAAAAGCCAAAAATAAGCAGCCGACTGTAGATCAGAGACATTCGGGGGGGGGGGGAGTGTTTATTTTTCCCACTTCCTTGTAGTGTTGTCATTTAAAGGTAATGTAGAAGAGAACACTTCATAATAATTTCATGTCAGGTATTAATAAAATATATCAAGGCAAAGGATGAGAACAGGAAAGTTAGGAGACTGATTGTTGAGTTTGTGGCATTGTGGGACATCTTGGTTGCATTTTGGTAATCCATCCTTATCGTATTTTTTAGAAATAAATTCTTATATATAAACAGAACTGAGCTGATGGCCACATTTTCTCTGAGGTATTTTTTGTATCCAGCAAAAAGTGAACTATTTCTTTTGAATCTATGGCCTTGTCACTGCGTTCACACAGTGTTCTATAATAAAAATAAAACTTTCTGAGAATGCAGTCACCTCCAGAACTTCCAAGTCATGCTCTTGATATTCAATTTTGTTAACTATGGAAGTAAATTTTAAAGGAGAATCTTAGATATCATATAAGTAAGTCATACTTTCTTATGGAAATTGACCTGCATAGGTGCTTTTTTTATATATATTGGGTCTGAAATAAAATTTAATGACCTTTCTCTAGAATGGCTATTTCTCACATTCAGAATAAGTTTGATGAAACAAAGATTTCTATGCAGCCATAAAAGACCTTGAAGAAAGAGGTGAGACTCCGCTGTGAAAGTCTAAGCTGACAGGTTTTGAACAAGCTATCCATAGCGTATGCCTTTGGAAGCCAGAAACCTCCTTCTGACAGAATGGAGAAGGATCAGCAAGATCACGGGCCTTCTGAATAATTAATAGATCAGTGTAGGAACAATTAAAATCCCTCTTTACCTGAGGTGAAGAAAAGTCCCCCACATAAAAAGCATTTTCTCTCCCATCGGAATCACACTGTTACGCATTTCAATCTACTGAAACTGACACAGAGATAATGTGTTCTATTGGTTCCAAGGCTGGGTCTACTTTAAAGTGGTTTATTTTCAAATTGTATTTTAGTTTAATTTTTATTAATAAATATTCAGCAGCAGAAATATTTCGGTAATGTTGGCCATATAAGATGACAGAACAGGGCAATGCCAATGATTTTGTTTATTTGGACCCCATTTTCTAGCATCTACTCTGGGTGACACTTTGCAGAGTCCGAAAAATATGAAGTGAACTGCTATCTCCTGCAATTTCATATTGTCAAAGAGAAGATCAGTGTGTAGATCAATACAATTATATGTTTTAAAGATTTTATGGTGCAGACCAGAGGTCCAGGGGCCATGAGAGAATTCACAAGAGACAGAGTGGGGAGCAGAACAGGCATATTGATGAAATACACTGCTAAGCAGAACAGTGGATGGGTCAGGAAAGGTCTGCCATGCCATATGGATTACTTCCAGGGCTGGGGATCGAACTCTCACTAAAGTGGCACGGGCCAGCTTTGCAGTGCTGTGCTCCAACCTGCTGTGCCACAAGGGAGGGCCCAATTCAATACAACTCTAAATAACCACTTAGCATATCATTTTCCAATAGAAGTATGCTATATAAGTATTATGCTATATATACATATATGTGTGTATACATACACACCGTGTATAGAATATGCTATGTTACATAGAAGATATAGACTGCATTATATGTACACTGTGTATTACATACTTTATATAATCTATTTACAATAGATTTAGTATATATTTTATGTTACATGCATATATTATATAGAGTATGGGGTAGGGCCAGGCAAACTGCAATAAATATGCCATTCAAAGAAGGAAAGTATCAGAGCAGCCCTCGGCAGCACCTCGGAGCTCCTGTAAGACCAATATAGGGAATAAAGTTTCTTTTGCTGGCACTTGACAAGAGGTTTCTAAATTAGACCCTATTTCTGCTCTCTGGAAGCAACTCTTCATGGTCTATCATCTCCATGCCCCTGACCTGCCTTCTACAAGGTCTTCATTTTCAATCACCTTTCACAGGGGAGATCGCCACCCTTTGGGGTGCCCACTTTTCATAGTTTGTGTCCTCTGTAGATAAGGATGGTGATCTAAAATTATTTTAGTTAATTTAAAGGCTTTTTTTCTTTCACGTCATTTCATTGATAACACAAGTCCCTCAAAACTTGTAGAAGGCTTCTGATTCACTTATTGTCAATGATCTTCACATGGCAGTAACCACACTCAATGTACATTCCTAGGTAGATGTCTTTTTTTTTTTTCTGGGCTTGCTCATACTTAAATTTTATCTCTCAACTTAATGGTGTAACTTCACAAAAGGTGGAATGACAGTTCTGAAAGGGATGCCTTTCATTTAATTTTTTTGTGGAGCTGAATAAGTCAATTCAACTAAAAATCTCACTTGGTTTTGAATAGTCAACATCTTTGAACAAACATCTCACCAGGCGACACAGATGGTGAGTAAGCATATAAGCACATTGGTGTAACATGTTCCACATCATTGAACTTCAGGGAAAGGCCACTACACATTTGTCAGAAAGGCTCAAATCCAGAGTGGCCAACCCCAAATGTTGACAAGGATGTGGCACACGACTTCTCAACTTTGCTGGGAGGGAATGCACTTCTACTTTGGAAGACAGCTTTGTGGTTTCTTATAAAACTGAACATATTATGATAACAATATGTACAACCCAGCCATTGCACTCCATGGTGTTTACGCCAAGAAGTTGAAACCTTACATCCACACAAAAGCCTGTGTGTGGCTCTGTCACTCATAATTTACCAGAACTCATTTCATCCTTCTTTTTTTTCCTCTGACATGTGTATTACACATCATTTTATTTTCTGGTTTTCTGCTTCTTCCCGTAGAAAGCAAACTCCATCAGCATAGACATGTTTGTCTTATTTACTGCTATATCCCTACTGACTAGAAATGTGTCTATTATGTCATAGGGGTTCAACTATATATTTTTGAATTGTATTTTTGATCAGGAAAGAAGCAACATAAATGAAATAGGGTAATGTGATAACTCAGAAAGAATGTTTAGAATCAGAAACCATGTAGCAGTGGAGATAAGGAGGGGAAAAGAAGGATTACTTGAAAGATCAGATTTGATTTCAACTCACCAAACTCCTAAGAAATCAATTGTTTCAGGTGATAGAATAAATCATTCTGATGATTCTTAAAGTTGTCAAATCACTTCTAGAAAGTATAGAAGGACTATGTGAGTGTGCTGGTGTGTGCATGTTTGATGGGGTATTACGAAAGGGTAAGAGATGAATAGCAATTTACTTTCAAATAGCAGATATTTGAGAGAATTCATTTCAATTGATGGACCAACATGGACATTTGGAAGATCTTGGGCTAGTGTAAATAACAAACAAATTTTCAATTTTAGTCTTGTTTATTTTTTTGTAATCGCTGTGATCCTGTCATGAATTCCAAATGGAAAGATAGTTAAACGTGTACATCAACAACTCAAAAATTAAATTTATTATCATTCCCATTCAAGATGCAGTAAATAAATCTTTGTCATATTGTTTTCCAACAGAAGCTCTAAGGTGGGAACTAGGTTGGTTTTACTAAAATCTCATTCCTTTGTATCAGTGTTTCTCTTCTGGTGTTTAATTCTTTCAACCTGATTGCAATTGAGCCAATTCTATAGAAGAAAGTAGTAAGCGAATTTTTAAAGAAAAGTAACTTTGTTTTCTATGCTCCTTTATTTTTCAACTCATAGGAAGTGTCTTGTTTAGTTGAATGTGTTTACAAGCTGAATATGTCTACAACACTGGAGCTTCGTAAAATGAAAGGAAAACTCATCCAGTTATACAATTATATCCATAATTTATCAGAGCAGTTTCTTTCAATGGACACAGTGGTGAACTCTCTGTTCGACCCTGCCAATTCCCAGGTTTGTATTATTGTTCATTGCCATGTTTCTTACACAAATGAATTCTGGAAGGATGGATCCCTACCCTGTGACTTCGAATCCAACTGTAAAAATACTGATTGCCATGAACAGCGTGCGCTGGCTGTCAGCTCTGTGTAGCATTCTGCTCGGGCCAGGTCTTTCTTTGCCCTTTCATTGCGTACATTTGTCCTGTTCTGCTTGCCAACTCACATAAAATTAATTGCTTAGAAATGGCTAAATGATATTTAGATTATATGGGAAGTAGCCTGGTAACTGTTTGCCTGTTTAAAATTGCTTATGGGAAAACATATATTAAAAGACTTTTTGGGATGGTTGGCAGGATTTGACAGTGGACTGGGTCTTGGAAGACATTAAGGAGTTTCTGTTTTCAACTACAGTAATGTTATTTTAGGGGTGTGCATGTGTTCTTTTTGTAAAGATGCACACTGAAGGTACTTAGAGGGAAATGTAATGATGTGTGTAATTTATTTCACAGTAGCTCCGCAAATAAAAAGGGGAGTTATAAAGTGAAAAATAAAGCTATCAATTCCCAAAACATAATTGATGATTTTCATTAGCTCTCATGCCGGCATATATTGTAGCGTTACTGTGTAACAGCCTTTGAATGCCATGATGTGTCTGGCACTCTGAGAAGTACTTCATATGCATGAGCTCATTAATTATTCAAGAAATCTATTTGTTCAGCAATAATTTTCCTATTTAAAAATTGGAGGCTTACCTCGGAGTGATTAAGTCATTTGCTCAGATGATGCATTTTGGTCAGTAAATCTCCAGTATGTATGTACACAGATATAAACACATCCAGCAGGAGCATGCATGCATCCACAAAGGTATTCAATTTAAGTAGGATATTTTATCTCTTATAAATATATATATATATATATATATATATATATATATATATAGAGAGAGAGAGAGAGAGAGAGAGAGAGATCCTTATATATTCTTTTTTTAAATGATTTATTTATTTATGCATACAAGAACTGGGGTCTAGGCCAGAGGTGCAGGGCAGGGTTTGAGAGGATCCAACAGAGACAGAGTGGGGAGCAGAACAGGTGGAGCTACTGAAATACACTGCTGAGGGGAGCAGCAGGAGACAGAAAAGGTCTGCTGTGCCATGTAGGGCAGCTCCCTGGCTGGAGGTCTAACTCATGCTTCGGTGGCTGCAGGAGCTTGATAGCACTGTCTTTAACCCCTATGCCACTGGGGAGGCCACTCGTATCTGTTCTTCAAAGCATATTCTGCCTCATCAATATTTAGCGTATTCTCCTGACTTTTAGCATATCACAATATAAACCTCTCTGCATTGTTAATCTAATGGTGTTACCTGGTACAGTTTAATCCTAAAGACTAAGAAAACAGTGAAAGCCACTATCCAAGATCCCTATGGAAATATTTGGTGGCCCAGTGGTACAAGACAAACCACTGTGACTTAAGGGGTTCCAGTTACAGTCTACATTTCCTCCAGAATGTAGACTGAGATACTCCTACAAGTATTAAGCAAGAGAATAACAGACATACAACATACATGTGATTCATTAGTTAACTAAATAAAGAACTGCCTTTGAAAAATTAAGATAGACTGTGTTTAGAGGTATAGGAAATGTAATAACAAAACAGTTATAAGAAATCTTTATTTGGTCATAAAAGGCCTTTCTCCAGTCTCCCCTCCCAATATACTATGTTACCTAATCTTATTATTCCATCTCCATTAGTCGTAGACCAGTTTAGAATCTGGCAATTAGTTGTTAGTGAGAAAAGTTAATCACTCCTGTGTGAAACCATTCTTGAGCTTCAGCACCTTATTTACAAAGTTCAAATGTGGGGACTATGGCTCCTTTTCTATACCTCCCCTTCTTAAGTTGTGTCTACCATATTGGGGTTCCCCGTTAAATTATTAGTAACTCAAGTATAGAGGTAACATATATTTTTAGATTTAATCAGACTCAGAGTGACTGCTTCCAATTTTCATCTTTCCCATTAGCTCATTATTCTGGGTAGAAGTTTTTTAACTGCCTAGCCTTGTCAAGAGCAGATTTAAATCAGAGATGCCTAAATTCCTGGGACTCTGAACAGATTAATTGAGTGTGGGTGATTGATCCATTGTGACGGTCTTCCTGAAGTACCCAGGGAGTTTGCAATGGTCTTCATGAAGCAGCAAATTTCAAATTCAACCTGAAAGCACCTCATTGCCGTTAGCCTTTTCTGTGCTCATCCTTAACTTTCTCAATTCAAATTTTAAACAGAAAGAACCCATACTGTGAAAATGTGCTCATTAAATTATGTTTAAAACCACAAATCCCTTATATCTTCCCTGTTTCCAATAAATCAGCATTAGTATGTTTCCTCAAAATAATAGAGAAAAGCTCTCACAAAGTACTTAGCACAGGGTATTCCTTCAATAAGTGTGTGTTTAATTGACTAAATGAAAAATAGTTCTAACTTATTATCCAAGTTCCAGTGTATATAAACTTCTCTTATTTGTTTCCAGTGTTATAATCTCCCTTCATTTTTCATTAAGCTTTCCACAAAAGAGTTAGAAGGAAAGGGGAAAAAAAGAAAAACTAATATCCCTAAACTTTACAGCACTGAAACTTTTCAAAAATCAAACTAAATAAACAATAAAGAGAGAGAGAGAGAGAAGATGAATGAACTACTCGGTTAAGATGTTTAGATGAAAAGAAAACCCAAATTTAAATAGATTAAAGTATTATAATCGCATCCATGTATTTTATGAGTTTGTTAGTGTTTTCTTCTATTGGGTTTGTTTTTGTGTTTCAGTCTTTGGATCTGTGCAGGAAATTACCAGACATCAGTGGGGTTAAGTTTGTTTGAATGGTGAACCCATTCATAAAACATAAGAAAAACAAAAATGCAAGAAGTTACTTAAGAGGAATAAGTTGATTAATAAAGGAATTTGAGTAAATTCCACCCAGGTAATTTCACACCAAAGTTAGTGCTTTTCACTTTTATTAGTACTTTTTTTTTCAGATTGGGTAATAAAAACACGCTTCACATTATCTTCCACAATAACTCTTTGTGAAATGATAGATATATGGTCTGAAAGCCTCACTCATTTTGTAAAGAGTATTGTTCTTTCAAAATTTTAAGTTAGTCATTACTATGTAGTCAACTACATTGCTTAACTTTCCTTCTATTATAAGTAAAAATAAAATGAAATATTGTTATCAAACTATTTTATGTCTATGAATAAATGGACTAGCTCATGCAACTACTAATTCCCTACATAGTTTCAGGTACAGCTGGATCCAGCTCCCAGAGCCACTGAGCCTAAGCTGTTCTCACAGCTTTAGCAAGCATGGCAGTGTCTGCTGGGCTCAGTGTTGTTCTCTGCATAATGACTCTGGCAGGAGAGGGGTTACTCAGACGGGTCGGGCCTGGCACATCTGCAGTCCCCCTTACTGAGAAGGATTTTCCCACACACTGCATGGAAACCTGCAATAAATATGGTTTTCCATAATCCAAAAAAAAAGAGTAGCTGCCTATACACTGAGCACAAGCCTGGATGCATTCATCATGGCTCCCTTTGTAGTCATTTTGTAAATTTCCTTTGGGGCTCATGAACATTCAGTCTCATTTATCAACCTTACCTGAATTGTGGATAAGAATCTGTACCTTGGGCCCTCCCTGGTGGTGCAACGGGTTAGGACACATCTCTGCAAGCTGGCCTCAGCCACTCCAGTGTGAGTTCTATCCCTACCCCAGAGGAGACCCACATGGCGAGGCAGACCTCTCCTGACCCACCTGCTGCTCCCCTCAGCAGTGTACTTTGTCATCTGGTGAAGCCTCTCACCGCTCCTGAACCTCTGGCCTGTCCCCCAGTTCTGTATGCATAAATAAATCTTTTTTTTTTTTTTTTTTAAAGAATCTTTAGCCTGTTGGGCAGGACCCACAAGCCTCTGTGAGGAGAAAACTGTAGACTTGAGATGCTGGTTTCCACTGACATGGTTGGCTGTGTAGGGAAAGTTCATTTGCGCAGGACAGGACTTGGGCTCTCAGGTCCAGTGGATCATACTGTCTTCATTGTCAAGCATATCTCATTATTAAGGTTAGGACTTCAGTGAGCACTGACTCAGCCCAACCCTGCTAAATTGTGGTGGAAAATTCCAACAGCCCGTTCTCCTGAGGACAAATGACATATCCATTCTCGGTTTCCTTGAATGCCATAAAGAGAACTCTACATAAAGTAATGATAGGTTTGCTAAGGAATGACAACCTGACAAACCAAGAAACGAATTTTTGTCTGCAGCAAGTTTCCAATAATCAAGCTCAGCCAAAAAGAGGCTGCAACGGAACAATTTGGACATAGTTACACAACTATGTGTAGATGTAATGTTAAAGGGAAGGATGTTCTAAAGGAACTCTGCAGAGTTTTGTGGACCCTACCCCCTACTCCAGCTTTCTGAACTCTGCCCCCTACACCAGTGATTGGAAATTACAACTCCCAGCAATACCAAGGAGAGAACTGGGAGGTCCCGAGGGCGGAGCTCAGCAGGCATTCTGGGAGTTGGGGGATAAAAAGAGCGCCATTTCCTACTTTTGCTCTCTCCGGAAGGCACGTGGCTGGGGGTTATCAGTGTGTTACTGGAGTTCCAAGTCAGCTCAGCTGGTAGGATATTCTAGTTACCTTGTATCTCTTTCTCTCTCCCTGGGTTGTACCTTTGCCTTTCCCTTTTTGTAAATAAACCCATTTTTGACCCTTTTTGTGTGTGCCTGCGGAACAATTAAATTTTAAGTGCGTGGGTTAAGAACCCACAAACAGGCACCCCAGTTCACACTTGGCATGCCCTGTAACAGTAATTCTGCTTTGAAGGAACAATATAGAGGTGAGAATTTATGGGAGGTAAAATCTAACGAATTCGACAACGTGATCCATGTAGCCAAAGACTAGCACAAATCGCTCTATTCAATGTCTTCTAAGAAACTAAATAAGGTTTAATTAGTTTCTCCGTTGGATGTCAGTGTTGTGCCATTTAAACATCACCAGCACCTTTTCCTTGTTAAGGAAGAACTTGACACTTGACTGAGAAGCTAAAGAACCAAACCACTTCCAGTAATTTCACCTGCAATGCAACGAACGCACTCATTGTTTCTGCCTGTGTCATGCCTCTGTGATGCCTTTGTTTCAGCCTCTCCTGGATCCGGTTGCTTCCAAAATGAATGCCTTCGAAACGCGGCTTGAAAATGTCACCGCCACTTTGACTAACCTTCAAAACCGCTTGGAGGAGGTCAGTACTCTGTCTAGGTTGGTGCACGAGTGAGGATGATTAATTTTTTAAGAGGATAATAATTCAATTTTAAAAGATACACAGTTACTCACCTTGAGTGCAATAGCCTATTTGTTCGTGGCGGAGGTGTTCGGCAGGAAGCTACACAATGATTTTTGAAACTGCAAACGGAGGTATATGGCATATCATAATATATTTATTAAGGACTAATGCAAACCACATTGAGTTATAGGAAACAAAATGTATTCCCGGGTGTTTAGAATTTACTGAACATGAAGTACTCAAAGGAGATTGTTTGGTGGAGAAGGAAAAAGAATTTCTATACCTACCTCCCCAAAGAAATGCATCCCTACTTACATCCTGGGAATGTTTTCAAATAGATTATGTGTATTGATAGGAGGAGGACTAGCTAATGTCTGAGCTTTAATTTGTCTACCTTTTCTGCTTTACTTTTCAAATGTATGCTTCAGATTAGGAAGGTGAATACCCAGCGTATGTAGAAGATAAGAGCACTCAGATATCAAGGTCAGTTATCCTTGAATTTTTCTTCTGCCTTTAAAACAACAGGAAAGGCTTCCCCAAATGGCTAGTTTATCTCCATTCAAAAGCAGCACAGAAAAAATCCGTGCAATAGTTTAAAAGCATCTTCAAAATCATTCCTAATCCATTCCGGTGGGGGGCAAGGGGAGAATGGGCTAGATGAAAAAAATAGGAAAAAATGAGCTTTTTCCATATTTGCCATCTCTGCATACCAATTTGTTGAAATTTCCTTTATTTTTGAGCCACTGTGTTGTTGCTAACTGATCAAATGTGAAGGGGCTAAGACACAAGCAGCCTTGTAGTTTCGGGGAGAAGAACTGCCGCATTGCAAGAGTGAAGCCAGGTTTTCAGGACACCCCCCCCCCTCGACAGGAGACATGTGAGCTCAGACATGCTGGAGGCATTTGAACAAGGCTGCCTTGAAAGGAGGAAGGGAACAAAATGCCAAAGACAAATACATAGGCATGAGTCTAGGGGTGCAGGTTCATACCTCTTCCCGTGTAGATGAGCACAGCAGACCCACGACCAGAGCACCCCTACTCCTCCACCACAGCCTGCTGGGCCCCCTCCCCTGTTGGTAGTTCCTCATTATCCCTTTCGCACCTGCTAGCCTCCATTTCCAAGGGTTTGTTTAATATGTGTCTGTTTTTCCTCCTTTGCTTCTTTATATTCTACATGAGAAACCATCCAGCCTTTGCCTTTCTCCTAACTTATCTCACTTGGAGTAAACCCCCTACCTCCCAGCTCCATTCACAGTGTGACCAATGGCAAGAGTTCACCTTTTTTATAGCAGAGTAATATTCCATCGTGTGTGCGTGCCATTTTTTATACCATTCATCTGTTGTTGAACACTTAGGTTGTTCCCATGGCTTGGCTGTGTTAAACAGTTCAGTTGTATTCCTTTGCATAAATTGTGTTGTAAATGACATAAACCAGGGCTTCAGTTAGAGAGATGAACTCTGAGTCTCATAGTTGGAGTCGTCAGTTCTAGCTTTAAATTCTGTACTGTTGTGATAAAACTTGCCCACTCTTTGGGAAAATAGAAGAGCCTAAGAATGATACAGGGCAGCCAGTCAGATGAAAATTAAACATTACAGAAGATACTCAAAAGCACAGATAAAGGTTTCGCTTCCTCAGATATTCACAGCACACAGTAGGTATTCACAATATTCCCTCACAAGACTGTAAAAATGCTGTTACATCAGCAATCAACCCTTTTTGCCACTCACCGAAGTACCAGAAAAAAAAAAAAAGCAACTGAGATTAGCGCGTGATTATAGAGTGGCTTTAAATTTCATCGATTTTTTTAAAAGGTTAAAGACATCTGTGTTTGAGAAAAGTTGTCATTTCTCATCAAAGCCAGAAGAGAGAATACAATCATGGAAATCATAGCTTGAGAGACATCTAGAAGTGGTGAATAAATTATATATCTGCATCCAAGTTTCCAAAAAAAAAAAAAGGGGGGGGGGTCTCTTACGATTAGGATCTCCATACCATCTTCCCGGTTCTATTTTAGTCTGTTTTAAGATTTATTCATTTATGCATGCAGAACTGGGGTACAAGCCAGAGGTGCAGGGACCGTGAGAGGATTCACCAGAGACAAAGTGGGGAGCAGAACAGGCAGATCGATGAAGTACACAGCTGAGGGGAGCAGCGGGCAGGCCAGGAGAGGTCTGCTGTGCCATGCGGGTCAGCTCTCAGGCTAGGAATCTAACTGTACTGAAGAGGCTGCAGCTAGCTTGCAGTGCTGCATCCTAACCTGCTGTGCCACTAGGGAGGGCCATTTCAGTCTGTTTCTTACGTGCATTCTCCTAGCTAGAGTGACTGTTCTCCCCAAGACAGTGCGCTTTGGCACTTAGACAGCACTCAGTAAATATTGAGGGGAATGAATTAATGAAAATGATGACTGTCTCAAAAATGTGTACCTTGCATTTAAAATATTTTGTTGTTTATTGTAAATACAGTTCATGCAATGAAATTTCTCCACTGTGAAGAAAACATTTCCCCTGAGAACCTACAGTCGTTTATATCATTATATACTCTCTTGTTATTTCCCTGACACTTCATGGGGTTAAATAAATATAGCAACGTGCAGTCTAAACATTTAATTTAATCAATGTGCACACATTAATGTAGGAAAATTAAGCTACGAAAAATTGAGCTTGGATTTAAACACCTGAAGTAATTAAATTAACTAGATAATTAATAAGATACCAATTCCACTTGTAATACATGGATACAGCCTTTAGAAGTAGAACTATGATTTTCTCCCTCTAGTCTTTGGTAAAATTTTGTTACAAAGAGTAAATGAAGCATATAGAGAATCCTATGAAATCAAAGCAGTTTGTAATGCAGAGAAAGCTTGAAATGTATGGAATCCCATGTTTCATACTGAAAATAAGACTAAAGCTTAAAAATATTTAAATAAGGGCCCTACCTGGTAGCACAAGAGGTTAAAACACAGCACTAAGAAGCTAAAGCCACTTCAGCATGAGTTCTATCCCCCACTGTCCTGGAGGTGACCACATGGTGCGGCAGACCTCTCCTGACCTGCCCGCTGCTCCCCTCAGCAGTGTATTTCAGTACATCTGCCTGTTCTGCTCCCCACTCTGTGTCTGGTGAATCCTCTCACCAACTCCCTGCACCTCTGGCCTGTATCCCAGTTCTCTATGCATAAATATATAAGAATCTTTTTTTTTTT